ATTTGTCTATGTACACACACAGTTTTAAAATATGTAGGTTGATTTTCCCAAAATAATAGATTGAATGAAGAAATAATTGATCAGGCAATTTACAAAAGATTTAGGACAATCATACACTATTTAAAAGAGGTTAGGGCATTTGACAACCTATGAGTATGAAGTTCAGGTTTTATAATACGGAGTAACAATTAAGGGAAGTTAAGTGCCCACTCTTTTAAATAGTGTATGAGTTCCTGTAATTCATGATGATCACATAGATATTTTAGAAAATATTGGTATACCCATCAAGAAACCATTTGATAAATTCTATTCATGTGTCTAAGGGATTAAATTATCGGCGTATAGAGTATTGAAATACTCATGCGACTTGAGGTCAATACGTACTACTTGTGTGGAGTGATGTACTTTGACCATGACCAATGCTTGCACTCCTGCGACTTCATGTCCAGTCGGCTTGACATGAACCGACGTCTAGCCGAGCCCGTTTCGGTTCCTTCCCGGTGGAATTTTTTTATGAGATTTTTTTGAGCATGTTCTTCATCAAGTATAATTCATACATACCAAATTTGAGCTACAAATTTAATTTGGAAGACAGTCAAATGTTTTTATGAAAACTACTACGTTGTCATGACGTCCTATCCGGAACCCCGCGCGGACAACACCATCAGAGGGTCTTCCCGGTTAAATTATTTGATGAAATACTTTGAGCATGTTTTTCATCAAGTCTCGTTTATGCATACCCAATTTCAACTTCAAATTCAATTGGGAAGACAGTTAAACAAATTCTTGAAACATACTGCATTTTAAATATGTACAAAATGTGCTGTAACAGAAGAGCCGCCACTTGAAGTGGCGGCTTTTGTACTGTAAGAGAAGAGCCGCCACTTCAAGTGACGGCTTTCTTAACCACGGTTAACCTAGCAGTATTTTGAGAATTATTTTTAACCCAGCAGTATTTTGGGAATTATTTATTTATTCAGCATTATTCCGAGAAAAAACTCCTAATTACATACAAATTTTATATTCCGTATACGTGATCTTGTTGGTATTACTACCAACTCAAATCACACCAGGTCAATCCCAAACCAAATGATTCTCATAATTATATAGACAAAATCATGAAATAAACCTTGATTCACGTTCTGTACACTTCAATCGCATGAGTGATTAAACAAAATCTTAAATCTTAAATCTTATCTTAAAATCTTATAGACACCAATAGTGGTTAGGGCATTTAAGGTATGAAAAAAATGTTGGTGTAAAACTAAAGCTACATTTAGTTGTACAATTTGTTATACTCATTGTACCATCCATTATCATTTGCTTACCTCCGTTAACATGTAACGCTTATCATTAACGGAAGTTTAATATATATCGTAATTGGAAATGATGTGCTTTTGGACCTTTAGTATTCCAATGCCATTGAATCTCTCTTCAAAAAAAAAAGTATTCCAATTCATTTGAATTAAAATCTCCATTAGTAAAATGGTACGGAGTATGTCCTAAAATCATTATTGTTTATTAAGTATACATAATCCTCGTAGTATTAAGCTGTTATCACAAAAATTTGACAATTGAGTATGATTGAATAATCTTAACTAAATATTATGCTAGAATATTCTATCTACTACTTAATTGAGTGTAGATATTTCTATTTGTTGTTAAATAGTTCTATCAAAGAATTTTAAATCTATTATTATGAACCTTCTCTTTAAAATGAACTGAATTAATAAACTATTCAAATAATCTTTGATCAAGTGGATTTTTTTATGGGAAAAGATCAAATAATCTCTTCTATTGTTCCCAATCCGTCACTTGAACTTATGTACAAAAAATATCATATAAGTACGTCTACTATACAAAATTGATCAATTTTACAATTTCATCAATTTTTGACCTGTAATAGCATGTTTTTTATATTTAAAAATTCTAAAAAAATTGTTAAATTTGAAGAAATATACACAAAAATTGTGAAATTTTTTAGAATAACAAATTCAATATTTTTTATTTTAGAAAAAATTTGTATATTTTACATCTATTGAAAAGGTTTCTAAATTTTATTTTTATATTTTTCTATTTTTTATTTTTATTTTTTATTTTGTTTTAAGTTTTTTAAACATTTAATCTATTTTTACATTTATACTATTTTTGTATTATTATTAGATTATTTATTCAAATTTATATGAATTTTTGTAAGATTTATCAATATTCCTAATTAACTTAATTTAAAAAATAACCTGCTATAGCAGGTCAAGTCAGTTGGTTGATTGTATTTTAAGAGTTGGCATACTTATATGATACCTTTTTTAGTATAATGGCTTAAGTGACGGATTGAAAATAGTAGAAGAACTTATTTGACCTTTTGTCTTTTTAATGATAATTTGTGAGCATGTTTTGATCAAGTTTAGACTATGTTCACAAAATTCGATTTAAAATTGAATCAGAAAGTCGGTTAAATCAGTTATTGAAAGGTGAATAAAAAACGTAGTGTTTTTCAATATTTTATTTAACTGACTTCTAGACTGTATTTTAAATTGAAATTTTATGGACATTATCTAAACTTTATAGAGAACATACTCATAAATTTCCAGTAAAAAATCCATCGAGATGCACCTCAAAAAAATCCACCCATAAAATTATTAGTTTAGTGCCAAAAAATCATCCTACTCACTCACAGTTGTTATAAAAAACTAAACATAGGCCTAATTTTTTTCCATTTTGTTTGGCCTAGAGCCCTCGCCCCGTGGGACTCCCCTCCAAATGTTTCTATACTTTTGTGTCTTATTATGCAGTTGCACATCAATATGGGCTGATTTATCATTGTAGTTATGAAAATATTCTGAACTTTTTTTACAAGTAAAGTCGTAAATGTGCATTACTGTGGAGAAAAGGTGCATTTACCTAACACAAAAGTGCATCACGCTTCACAATGAAATAAGAAGTGTCAATATCATTTTGTAACTTTTTAAAGAGGTGAATGTGCACCTTTACATATAGTATTCGCAAATTTACTATTAAATATTTTCCTAACCCGATATTATTGTCTATTCCATCCATTTTTAAGTGATCAAGAGTTTAGATGACATCTCACGTTTCATGGAAAACATCTTTATACTAGAACCTACCTCTTTATATACACACATGTTATAATCGTGTTCTTTATACTTATCTCTTCAACCACTTTAAACTCTTGATAGATACTTGTAATCCTTGTCCTAAATTAAATGGACATATCCATTTGACACATTGGGCACTTAATTTATGGCGCATCGCGCGAGTAAAAACTAGTAAACAAAATACAGAGAACCAAAGTGATTTAACGTGCACTTTTAAAATCGACAGCATGAAAAAAAATGCATCACTCCATCGCAAATAATCGACAGAATATCCGACTCACATAAATTTATCTGGTTCTATCTTAGGGTCTGTTTGCAACAGCTTCTGCTTTTAAAAAAGTGCTTTTTTTAATGAAATGGGGAGAAGTGATTAAATAAAAGTTGATAGTGTTTGAGAAAAAAGTGATTTTGAAAAGTAAAAGTGGATAGTGTTTGGTAAAATAAGTGCTTTTTGTGTAATAGAAAAAGTAAAAGCACTTTTGACGCGGAAGCCGAGAAAAATAAAAGTTGTAGTGTTTGGGAAAATAAGTGCTTTTTAAAAGCCAAAAGCTGAGAAGTGCTTTTTTAAAAGTAGTTGCAAACCAACCCTTAATAGAGTGTGCTATTCAAATAATCAGAAGTGCAGAGAAAAAGCCGGAGCATTCAATCGTAATCTTAATTGGTAGATCAATCGTATACTTTGTCAGAACAAATAAATCAATACTTTTATCTGCCGATTTCAATTTGTTAAAGAAATCATACGATTTCAATTTAGTCATGGTCACCTGATTTAACATATGAATCTGTTAGGAGCGAACTGCATAATCGCAATTCAGATCGCATTACCCATTCCATCTAATTAAAACCTAATTAATGATGGGCTGATAGGTTAAACATTCTCTATAAATAGAGGGATTATGGTCCCTACTTAAACAAGTCATTTTGTCTTTCTGCATCACATCACTAGAGAGATAATTCCCGAGGGGGTGTATCAACTAGAAGACGTAAACCCTAGCCTCCGTCTCTCGGATCTCTAAAGATCATCTCCAATGGAGTCAGATACGCTTCCGCTCAGTCAATTCTCTAGATAATTCCAATTTGAAGATTAAGGTATTATCGGATTTATTCCAACAATTGTTATCAGAGTGTCCTTCATATTGAATTATTTGGAGTATTCACTTTGTTTCAATCTTAAACGAATTATCTAGAGAATTAACTGAGCGGAAGCGTATCTGACTCCATTGAAGATGATCTTTAGAGATCCGAGAGACGGAGGCTAGGGTTTACGTCTTCTAGTTGATACACACCCTCGGGAATTATCTCTCTAATGATGTGATGCAGAAAGACGAAATGACTTGTTCAAATAGGGACCATAACCCCTCTATTTATAGAGAATGCTTAACCTTAATCAGCCTATCATTAATTAGGTTAAGGCCATGAGTTTCTACACATTTGAGCCCCATACCTTATTAGATAACTTATTAGTTCACTTAAATTAATATCCATAGGACCAATAATTTTTGGGTCTAAATTAAGATAGCATATAACATACAATTAAACCGAATAAATAATACAGAGTATATTGTGAATATTACATGCAGAGTATATTGTGAATATTACATGTAATATGAGTCCAATAATCTAACAAATTATACTAGCAATATATATTCTGGGAATATATTTTAATAATGCAAACTATTTTTTTACTTTTTTAAAAAATACAAACTATTTACGTATATAACAAAAGTACCGTATAATCACTGGAAATTCGACAATTCTATATAAAAAATTATTTCAAAATATCAAAAAGTGAGCTCCATATTATTATGTTTATATATTAAAACAGTTCGTATTTTTTTGATATGTTTCGAAATAATCATAGTCCATCCATATTGTATACGTAGTATTAAGGTCAATAACAATGCGTAATTGCGTATACAATTCGTTTAAGCTTGAAGGAGGTTAATGCGATTATTATTTCTTTATTCCGAATAAAAGAGGGAAAAGAAAGAAAAAGCAAACTAAGGGACCGTCGGCGTGACATGCCATCGCGGTGCCGGGAAGATCATTTTGTATTGCCGTACACCGTTTTCTCTCCCTCGCTGAATACGCAGCTCAGTAAAATATCTTCATACAAAGGTTACATTATCCCAGTATGGACGCACAACTGCCCTGAGATCTGTAAATTATCTCGATATATCAGCTACTGACATTCATTATTTTGTGATTCTGCCCCGTAAATTTTATTGATGTTTATTGATTTTCATTTAATCATTTAATTAGGCAGATTGGTGGAGCTAGCGATGTGATTAAAGTGTTTGATCGAGTGTAATTTATCGAGAAGATGGCGTGGTTTAGTAACAGAGTCTCTCTCGGGAGCTTGGATCTCGCCGGCGCCGTGAACAAACTAAGTGAGGGCGTTAAGAATATTGAGAAAAACTTCGATAGCGCTCTAGGCCTGGAGGATAAATCTGATGCCAGTAGCAGCGAAGGTACCTCACAGTCCTCTTAGCCCCTTACTATCGTCAATGCTTTTCTATTGAATTTAATAGCCAGAAATGAGTGTGATCAGTACAAAGTAGCTAAAGATTACTTGCTCAGGTTATGTTTATTGCTTGTTCTGTACAATTCTTTCATTGAGTCACGAAAGCATGCTGGCATGAGTGCCTTTTATAACATTTGCATCTAGCGGAGTGGTATTTCAGAATGAATATGTTAGTAAGCAACTGTGTATCATAATTGTTATTGGAGAAATATCTTTTGAAATTTAAACCGTGAAATGAGAAGATCATTTGTCTTATTAATGTGATTGGCTTGTCTTCTATTTAACCAGTACTTGCTTTCTTAGGGAAGTTCAGTTTGTTGCTTTATTTGTTGCTGACTTGTTTTTATGTGGTTATCACTTACCAGCATCAGTGTTATGGCCATCAGCATCAGGGTTATGGCCATCAGCCTTTATGGGACATAAAGGTGGTGAAGAAACTGAATCTATAGAAGAAGCTGACTCCTCAAAGTCCATCGCTGTTGATGTGGAAACAGCCATTGATGATTCTGTTGGATCGGAAAGTGATAAACATGCTGACCCTATTGAAAGCAATGATGCAGAAACAAGAAGTATTGAAATGGCTACATCTGGTAAAGAAGATAATGGTCTGGCAAGAAAAGCTGATTTGGAGCAAGAGTATTCTTCTGAAGAAGCAGGCAGTGCTTATCTGAAACAAGAGCCAGTTACGTCTACCGTAGAAGTAAGAGACGAAGATGCAAAATCGGAGCCAACTATATCCAATAAAGAAGCTGATGTAGACATAATAAAACAAGATTCTTCTGAGGAAACAAATCCTGTAAGTGAAGAACAAAAAATTATTAGTGCTCTAGTTGAAAGAGAAAATGAACCTGATTTGCCAACTGAAGTGCTTGAAAGCAAACCTGAACATGCTGAAGAAGCGAGTTCTTCTAAATTGCTGGAAAAGGAGACTTCAAATGAAGAATATATTGGAGATATTGCAGAGTTGGACACAAAATCAAGTATCAGTGCCCCTCAAGATGAAATTCGTACCTCAGTGCTTCATCCATCCCATGATGTTGTTATTTCACAGGAAAACACAAATGACACTGAAGAACGTGAGGAAGACAACGAAGAGGAAATTTCTCCCACTGAGTTTCAGTATGAATCAACTAGTCATTCTGAAAGTGGAATACATTCCGTTTCTGACTTGGTCAAATCTACTCAAACTAGACCTGCCGAGGAACAACATGAAACTAGCTTTCTTATTGCTCAACATGATGAAGAAGATTCAAGTTCACATACTAGTGCAATTGCTCAAGCTGTTGAGGTCAACCAGCGAGCAATTGATAATGTAGTTGATATTGCAGAACAGTTGAGTTCTGGGATCAACTCCACAGATGCTGCCAATATGGTTGATGAACTGGAAAAGGTCAAAAGGGAGATGAAAATGATGGAAAGTGCACTATTAGGAGCTGCTAGACAAGCACAGGTAGATTTGTTTATGAATAACATGGAGTAATTTGTGCACCATATGAATGGATAGAGTTGTGCACCATATGAATGCACCATATGAAGTCTTAAAATATATGTAAGCACATTGGATTTGCAATGGTAAATGGAACTTTGTAATAGATGGTGTCATTTTTCTCACCACAGTTGGTAGTCTAAAGAGCCCATGTAGGCACACATTAATGCCCCCACACTACCTACTCTAGAAATGAAGTCATGGGAGTCCCATCAAACTCACATATGATCCATATGAATTGTGTGACTTAATTTCTTCATTTGGTAATGTGGGGAGACTAAAGTGTGCCAACATGAGCTCCAGATTTTTTTGGTCACAGTTGGATATATAGTGTTGCTGTGTGACTGAGAGGTCACAGGTTCAAGTCTTGGGAGCGACCTCTTGTCAAAAAATTGACAGGGAAAGGCTTGCCCCTTATACACCCTTGTGGTGGGACCCTTCCCTAGACCCTCGCCGTGCAGGATGCCTTCGTGCACCTGGCTGCCCTTTTTAAGTTGGATATATAAAGTGTTTTATGTCACTTTAATTTTTTCCGCCTATCAATTGTTTCCCTGAATTCTCCTGTTATTTTCTTCTTCAAAGGATCAGATAGTAGGTTTTAGGTTAGCAAGTGCATCACAGTCCCATAATCCTTATGACAACTAGATACAAAATTATCTGCAGCAACTGGTTTCCTAAAAGCGCATCTGTACAAAATTCACAGTGCACTAACCCTCGAAGTTCTGAATTGACCTACCAAAGTTCATTAGGATTTCCCCCAGTGATAAAAACTTTTGCCGCGTGTTGAGAAAAGTGTAGTTAATTCACTTGTTTACAGCACACCATGCTTATTTTCTACTAACTATTAAAATGTGTTGTTCAAAAGTCAATCATACTAATTTTTAATCTTCCCTTATAGGCAAAGGCTGATGAAATCGCAAAGCTGATGAATGAAAATGAGCATCTAAAGGTTGTTATTGAGGATCTCAGGGTGAGTTCCTTTTCTTGTCATTTTTGGCAGGCTTTGTGTGTACAAGGTTATGATTGGTGTTCAATACTCTCTCCGTCCCATAATGTAAGATAGATATGGGTTTGGTGCGGGTTTAAGAAAATAAAGGACAAAGTTGCTATACAATTCTAACCTCTGAAAGTAAGAAAAAGTAAGATGAGTCCACAAAAAGTAGAAGAGGAAATGATGAACAAGGGATAAAGTATGAAAGTAAAAAGTTAGTGGAGTTCAATTTAGGAAATTATGGGACAAACAAAAAAGGTGAGTGTATCTTACAAAATGGAAATGGGACAGAGGAGTTTTTTGTTGTTGCTACATTCAATTGATATGCTGACCTGCTAGTTAATTGCAATTTCTATCTATTTTGTATGTTGAGCGATGACAAATTATATTGTATTTATCGTTCCAAATGATGGTTAATTCTACATCCAAGGTAGCTTCAGACAGGTTTAAACTTTGGCCCCTTTTGGCTTGGGCCACTTGTCTGAGTTTGAAACAGTGAGTTGAAAAGTCGGCAGTAAAAAAAGCAGTAGCAGCGGTGAGATTATAAAACTTGCCCCACAAATAATTAATTTATAATGGATATGCAATAAGGCGCAAAGAGGCGTGCGAAATAGGAGGTCTGACTGTAAGGGTATTATTTAGGCCCACTCTGTCCACTTTTTAATTTTTATAATTGATGTTATGATCCCTATTTCAAACCACTAGATAATGATGATTCGATTTTTCAGCAGTCAATCTTATAATTTTAAATTTTGATATGTTAGGAATTTTGATTTGATGAATGATCCATAATTTTTTGGTATTCTGTGGAACTTTGAACACATTACTTCGCTAGGATTATGGCCTCTTATAATTTTTTTAATACAACATTTGACTTTTGATGAATAAGTTTTATTTTCTATTATGTTTATATATATATATATATGTATATATAGATATTGTTTGGATCAAGTAAAAAGAAGTCTTCGTGTTAAAAATGAGAATGATTTTCGTGCATTGAATTTGAGATCTGATGGCTCTAAAAGCGCCAACATTGCACCATGTTGAGTTAAAAACGCGGTGACATTTTCATTAAAGAAGTTAATGTTTTTGACACCCTGAAAAGATGCAGTATTTGAACCTAAAAGTGTAGTGTAGCAGCATAAAAGTGAAAACCTTGCACTTTTCACGTTCAACATCCTTTTAATTTGAACAGCACCTCTTTCTCTCTCTCTCTCTCTATATATATATATATAAGAAAAAGATCCTGCCCATCCGGATAGACAGGAGGCGCCGTTCGGCCGCCGCCGTTTGGGGCAGTTCCTGGTGATATTTTTTGATGAATTTTTTTGAGCATGTTCCTCATGAAGTCTAGTTTATCCACAAAAAAATTCAGCTAAAAACTCGATCAGGAAGACAGTCAAATAATTTATGGAAAATAACTGCGTTTTATAAGTAAAATTTGGCACAATTATCTTCAAAAATTTATTTGACTGCCTTCCCGATCGAATTTTTAGCTGAAATGTTTTGTGGATAAACTAGACTTGATAAGGAACATGCTCAAAAAATTGCATCAAAAAATTCCATCGGGAACCACCCCAAACAGCGGTGTCCGGACGGCGCTTCCTGTCCCTCCGGCTGGACAGGATCATTATATATATATAAATTATATATATTATATTACCCTCCAGGCATATGCCTCATTGCACAATGAGGCTCATGCAATACGCATTTTTAAAAAAACACCATGAGGCCCATGACTATGCAATACCCAATTTCAAACCCTGCATTTATTTTAAAATACGGTTAGTTTTTATTCAGTGAACAAAAAAAAATTGATCAAAATTTGTTAGCCAATTTAGAAGCAAGAAAAAAAAAAAACCCTGCTCAATGCACCTCATCTGTGCTCCCTAATTTTATGATATGAACAATATATCTACACGAACAGACCTCTCATCTTCAACCTGCTTTATATTGACTTGTTAATTTTGTATTTGCACATATTGAGACCACAAATATGAGTTCTTATGGGGCCAGAGACTATTTCTTATAATGACAAATTGACAAACATTCATGCAAGATTGCAGTGGGTGATCTTAAGCCATTCTTCTTGGTCTTAAATGACCTTAAACTCTTTAATTTTTCTATTCTTTTATATATTGGAGTATATTATTTTGTACTATGATATATACTACCTTTGCCTCCCTAACATGGTACAAGAGGAGGTGGTGCAGTTACAAAGAAAAGTTAGTTGACGTGATTGATATTGAATTGATAAAGTGAAAATAAATTAAGAATGATTTTGAACCGCACAAACATTACCATATTTGTCATGGGACAATCTTAGTGGGACGGACCAAAAAGGAAAGATGTGACAATCTTAGCGGAAGGAAGGGAATAGTATATTCTAGTATACTTCGTATTATTTTATACTATAAAAAAGCGATCAGATCCAAACTTGCATCACATAAAACTTAAACCTTTACCTGCATTGCTGTGGACTGCTATAACGTAAAATCCCACCAAACTCACCTCAAAGCTAAAACAAAGGGCATTAACACCGTTTTGTTGTTTAATGTTTGAACCATGTCCTTGACTAATGGCGTAGAGAACCTAGTAGCTGATGGAAATATGGGAATATGCTATTAATGCTCCCTTCCTGGCTTTCATCTAGTTGCAGGAGCTGTCCTTTTGCTTGAAACGGATGGTGCCATGGTTTTAGATTTGTCATTCTTACGTGGAATAATACTATGGAGTTCGTTTACTTGTCTCAGTTATTAATTTAATTTGACACTACTGACCTGGGCATACGATTTTTTCTCCCATTACATAGCATTTCGCGTCTGCTCGTTTTTCCTGCCAGAATGTACTCTGGAGTTTGTCCTATTTTGAAGTCATCATACTAGTAACCTCAATTAGCCATGAATGTTTAACCTTAGGTTCACTGCACACCTTTTCCAGTTCTAGTGTAATACTCCCAAAATAAGTGTCTCCTTACCTTTTTTTGGAAAGAAATATGTGGCCTACACCATTTCACTTTATTATACTCAAACCTCAACCACAACTTTTACTTTTTCAACCACTTCATTAATAACCGTGTCAAGTCAAACTAAGACACATAAAATGGGACGGAGGTAGTAACATGTAATTCTTCAAACACTTATCCCTAGCTCTAATTGTTACTATCTCTCATCTAACTGACAGGGAAAGGCCAGTGAGGTAGATATCGAATCCTTGAGAGAAGAGTACCATCAAAGGGTTGCAACTCTGGAAAGAAAGGTATAACTTTTTCTGCATTATGTACCACAGTTGGAGTATAGTTCCAGGTAAACTATGTTATTCTTATCTGGAATGATGATGGATTACTAGTAATGTTATTATGTTATGTCATTCGAATTTCAGGTTTACTCTCTTACCAAAGAAAGGGATACACTACGTAGAGAGCAAAATAAGAAGAGTGATGCGGCTGCTCTTCTGAAGGAGAAAGATGAAATCATTACTCAAGTTATGGCTGAAGGTGTGAAAATAAAAAAGCAGTTCTAAGAAGGGAAAATAATTCATTTTTTAATATTTTGCAATTAATTTAACATAGAAAACCTCACATAGTTGACTTGACACATTTGACTTTATGTACTGCAAAAGTTAAAAAGGTGATAGGAAAATGCTTTTTATTTTGTAAATATTATCAGTTGTGATTCTATCACACACATCTGCATGCTAATTATTGCGTGTAAAACGAGTCCATGTTGTGTTTGGCTAGTACCTATAGTGCTACTGAAAGGTCTACTGATAGGTACTCAGATTTCGTAACAGTAAACTATGGATTATATTGTGCTGAATCGCAGAAAGAAGACGATGATACAGCCAGGGCACTTCGAGAGGCCTCTACTCTCCACAGAACCGAGTTCCCAAATTCTAAAATCTGCCTACCCCTTTCCTCCCTTCCTTCCATCTCTTATAGTACTCTATTCTAACGGGCCAGCCCATATTATATGACATGGCCCAGAATACTTATTTATACAATACCAAACTTATTCAATATCAATCTATCACTATTATTATCATTATTCTCTACAGCCCAGGGCCCTATCATATCTCCCCCCTTGAAAAACCACCTTGTCCTCAAGGTGGGTGATAGGACACAGCCTTGATCTTGAACTTCATCTTCATCCTGGAGCCTCTTCCTTCCCAATATCTCCCGGATTTCTGAACCAGGATATTCTGTGCTTCGTCCCCCCACCTCACAAATTTTTCTGCAGCCAAAGATAAGTCTAGTGAAGTCGCAGTCTCTTCAGTGGCTGTAAAGCACTCAATAACGACAAATGTTTCTTTGTGTTGTGCTTCTCCATGTGCAGCAGTTATATGTTTTGATAGTGTTGCAACCCGTCCTTCCAGCAGATTCCACCTGAGTGATTCATCATTATAGATGCTAAGCTTTCTCAATAGTCTCCGAGATATGCACCCTCCCATCACACATGGATATGCACTCTCCACCACTTTGAATTCCGGATCCCATACATTTGCAGCTCCTTCAAGTAATCCTAAAGCTCGTATCACCAATACATAGTCATGAGAAAGAGATAAGTTGAACTCGTACATATCATCATATAACTGATTTTTAGCCTGGATATCCTGGAACTGTTCACTTCCCTCACCAAAGGATTGTACAACAGTTCTTTTAAGAATGAAACCGAGATAGAGGAAATCATTTGCCATACTCCTTGAAATTGTAACCTCAGAATCTCCAGCTGCCACCCTTTCCAAATAAGCTTGAAGCATGAGAGTTTTCAACTCATCATCTCTTGGCCATTTCAATTTCTGAAATAAGCTACCTTCCTTCATAACTATCAACAACTCCTTGGTTGAGCTGGGATGACACCTCAATAGAGAGTAGGTAGGATACTTGTTCAGTCTCTTTTCAGAGACTGCCATATCAGCAACCATCATCAACTCTTCTACCATTTGATACCCTCCAATATCAACAGGATAAGGCGTGGAAGTGTTAATCTGACATTGAACTGCAGTATCTATTTGAAATTGAACTTCACAGGGTTCACCATCAACACTTTTAGAAACCATTTGAACACTCATTTCTTTCTCTTCAATTTCAGCATTTCCCCCAAGGTAAGGGATGATTTCAACCTTCATTTCCTGAACAGCATCATATTGATCCAAGGCATCCTTTGCACAAAAGATATAAAGGTTGACTGCATCGTTTTGCCCTTGCCTATAACCTCTATCTTCAGCCTGTAGTATGTGTGTAGGTTTTCTTGGCAGTTCCAAAAGGACAAGGTCTTCTTCCAGAAGCATGGCCATACCAATGAAAATGCCTTTGAACGTCTCTGAATCCTTAAATCTCATAGAAACTACCACCAATTCATAGCTCTCTTCATCTGATGCCTTTCCATTTGAGTATTTTTTAGAATTAGGGAATAGCATGGACACATTTTCATTTCCTTTCTTGTCAATAATCAATATTCCAGTCTTAGTAACGTTCTCGGGCACCGCCTGAGGTGTTCTCCTATCATCTTTGCATTTTCCAGCCAAAGGTATGAGAGCAAAAGAAATAGCAGAGCCCTGGAAAGTTCCTATCATTTTGGAAGCAACATAATGAACATCATGGATAGAAACTTGAGGCACTTCTGATGCCAGACGTTCTGACTGTCCTCCTTTTTTGCTAGGGTCACCAAGAACACCATCCGACAGAAGCCTTGGCTCCGAAGATCTACCATAGCTTTCCTCACCATTGAATAGCTGCACCTCTGCCTCTCTCCTGATTGGGCTAGGTCCTTGGTTCATGTATATCTTGCTTTTGTTGGCGGTCATCTGCGATCTTAGAACATCTCTTGTCAATTGCTTCGCACTTGGAGGCGAATTGGGATAAATTGTTGGTGTTGGAAGAATGTCAACATTGCTCTGTTCTGAAGGTGTTGATGAAACCAACTTCAACTCAGATTTCAATTCAGGAGAAACTTGTGCCTGTTGAGAAGCTGTGTAAGAATAAGCAAGAAACTGAGAACTGGTGACTTTTGACTGCGCCACAATCTGCAAACTGGAGAACTCCGCTGGCGATAAAGCTAGTGCGTTGTGAAATGCCGCTTGAGATGCCATCTGCGAGTTGGTAGAAGTGGTTCGCATCTGCGAACGGGAAGCTTCTCCTCTCGATCTGCTGTTTCGCGACATCAAACTGGAAGATGCTATTCCCGATTGCGAACTGGAAGAAAAGACTTGCGATGAAGATGAGTGAGGATAAACACTTCGCGAGGAAGATTTAGAACTGGAAGCCGATATTGACTTTTGCGAACTGAGAGGAACAGTTCGCGATTGATGACGATAATGAAATCGCGATCTCCCTCGCTCGCTCATAGCGTCCATCCTCCCAGTCAATCGTTCCATCAGCGTTTCCATCTTAGCTTCCAATCGCAGCAACTTTTCTTTCATCGCTACCTGACTGCGTTCAACCGCTTCAATCCTCTGTTCCATTTTGGCCCTAGTCTGAACCATTCACAGCTTCGAACAATTTTTTTTTCTGGATTGCGTCACTTTTCCGATTACGGTTGCGATTACCAGAAACGTAATGCTCTGATACCAATGATAGGTACTCAGATTTCGTAACAGTAAACTATGGATTATATTGTGCTGAATCGCAGAAAGAAGACGATGATACAGCCAGGGCACTTCGAGAGGCCTCTACTCTCCACAGAACCGAGTTCCCAAATTCTAAAATCTGCCTACCCCTTTCCTCCCTTCCTTCCATCTCTTATAGTACTCTATTCTAACGGGCCAGCCCATATTATATGACATGGCCCAGAATACTTATTTATACAATACCAAACTTATTCAATATCAATCTATCACTATTATTATCATTATTCTCTACAGCCCAGGGCCCTATCATCTACTAAGCATTGGTGCTATTTAATTATCATTCTTTTTGAAAATGATTTTGAGTATTGGGTGCTGTCATTATGTTCTTTTTATGTGTGTACTTTTCATTGAAGGTGAACAGCTATCAAAAAAGCAAGCTACCCAGGAAGCTCATATAAGAAAATTAAGGGCTCAGGTTATCTTTCAAGCATAATGCAGCCTCTTTGTTTTTTTAATGTCTCTTATTTTAAATAGATCTTCCCTTGTGTTCTGAAAGTTAGATTAGAGAGCTTGAAGAAGAGAAGAAAGGACTACAGACCAAGCTAGAGGTTAGTTTCTTCAGTTTTAGTTTGTGAAACTGACATGGAGTATGCATTGTGTTGTGTGATTATGTACTAAAAAGCATGTCGGAAAAATTAAACATTAATGGGGTTATGCCTGCATGTTTGAAATAGATTTTGTCAGTAGATGGCTATTGTTAAAGTGTTTAGGACTTTAGTTTCATGGTTAGAGCTATTTGTTTAATTTGCTGCAGGTAGAAGAGAATAAAGTGGAGAGTATAAAAAGGGATAAGGCTGCAACTGAGAAGTTGCTCCAAGAAACAATTGAGAAACACCAAGCAGAACTTATAACTCAAAAGGAATACTGCACAAACGCTTGGAATGCAGCGAGGGAAGCTGAATCATTAGCTGAAAAACTGGCTAATAATGAAGCTAGAACCGAACTTGAGGGTCGTCTAAGAGAGGCTGAGGAGCGAGAATCTATGATAGTTCAGGCACTTGAAGAGTTGAGGCAAACACTAAGCAGAAAAGAGCAGCAGGTGTCATTTCTGTTACCCAAGTTATAGATCAATATATGTATACACACACCTGACACACGTATTGTCTGAAATCTCTGCAGGCAGCTTTTATGGAAGATATGCTGCGCAAAGACATCGATGATCTTCAGAAAAGATATCAAGTATTAAATAACTCAAACATATCTTCAACGATCATGTTTGTGTCTGTTAACTATTTTTATGTTAAGCTGATATTATTGTCTTTTCAGGCGAGTGAGCGTAGATGTGAGGAGTTGATAACTCAGGTTCCTGAATCTACCAGACCTCTTCTCAGGCAGATTGAAGCCATGCAGGTTATTGCTGTTTCCTCATAAAGGTTAAATATTTCTTGGACGAAGTATATGTTTTGACTTATTCGTATTGGTTGCAGGAAACAAATGCCAGAAAGGCTGAAGCTTGGGCTGCTGTAGAGAAATCTTTAAGTTCAAGGCTTCAGGTTTCTTTTGCAAAATCAAACATTCTGTCTGTTTTATTTTTATCATTAGGCTGTTTTATAGGGAAAATATTGTACACAACTTTTCTAACATAGTTGAATTGATTTTACAGGAGGCTGAAGCCAAAGCTGCAGGTGCAGAGGAGAAGGAGCGATCTATTAATGAGCGCCTATCACAAACTTTATCTCGGATTAATGTGCTTGAAGCTCAGGTTTTCTACTTATCCTTAGGTGCTATAAATTGGAAGCTTTTTATGTATAGTTATTATTATTATTTAAATAGTTGTTAGCTCACACATAAAGAGAGATGTTGCAGATATCTTGCCTTAGAGCTGAGCAAACACAATTAACTAGGTCCCTAGAGAAGGAGAGACAGAGAGCAGCAGAACACAGGCAGGAATATCTCGCTTTGAAGGAGGAAGCTGACACTAATGAAGGCCGTGTAAAGCAGCTTGAAAATGAAATTAAGGAACTCAGACGGAAACACAAGCAGGAACTGCAAGAAGCATTGGCACACCAAGAACTCCTGCAGCATGTGAGTACAGTTTATGATGTAAAAGCCTTTTGTATTGTAGATCATGCTCATGGTTGGCAAGCACGTTTCTATTATTGGTTTAACTAATCCAAAAAGTGCATAATGATCCATAATTATGAGTTTGTATCACCTCCAAATCTCAAACTCTTACAGATCGGAAATTTTGTTTAAAATAAAAGTTTTGTGATCTGAATAAACAAGATCACTCAAACTCTACCTTTTATAGATGTTACATGCATTAAAAAATTGGCAAGCCTTAACTTACTAAATGGCCTAGTTAGCCCCACTCTTGTATCCAAATAGTGTACGCCTCAACGCTGTCATTTCCCTAGTCATTGAACATGCAAGGAGGGAAAAGGAGGGACATACTCAGGCTTGCGAAACTTAAAAGGAATAAACCACATACTCGTGAAAACTTGACCAATTTCAATTATGAACAGGATTTAGAACGGGAGAAAGCCATTCGTTTGGATCACGAAAGGGCGGCTCGTGTTCAATCTTCTGGAGTGCCTGATCAAAACCCAATAGCAAGGCAAAAGTCTGGATTTGAAAATGGTAAGTCAACATCAATACAAGCATAATTAATTAAGCCTGCATCTGACTCTATTTTTCTATGTCTTATCATTTAATTACTGATTGCAGGAAATTTGGCACGTAAGATTTCAAGTGCTAGCAGTTTGAGCAGTATGGAGGAAAGCTATTTTCTGCAGGCATCTTTAGACTTTTCGGAGACTTCTTCTGATCGTAGAAATACCGGAGAGGTTATGATGAGCCCATACTACGTGAAGAGCATGACTCCAAATGTTTATGAAGCTTCACTCCGCCAGAAGGAAGGCGAACTTGCTTCATACATGACACGATTAGTATGTTTTCATCACAAATTTCTCATATACTATCGTATATGTTTTTTATACGCAGTCGGCAGTTCAGATCAGTGCTATAATAATGAACGATCAAAGTTGACATATCTGAAATGTTTTTTAATTTTTGTTATTGTTTTACTCTTACAAATTACTTTTTGATCTTTTTGACCAACTCCAGGCATCTATGGAAGCCATTCGGGACTCTCTTGCCGAAGAGTTAGTAAAAATGACAGCAGAAGTGAGTATTCTCCCAAACCTTAACTTTATTTATGTCATTTTTATTTAGGTTTACTACGCTTACCTGTCCTGATGTTTGGTTAACTTACCAAATAATTCTTGAGGCCCCTAGAATTTGAAATAAGCACCTCAACCAGTCACATTTTTCCCATTAGAGTTGCCCTCATTATTTTCCCTGAAGATCAGCTTTATATATTGATTCATGTAATGCATTATAACACCAGATTATATATCACTATATCCTTTAATCTTTCTTGTTAAAGACATCATTTCCGCGAAGCTAACTAATCAAGGGACTTAGTTTTTAGTTTTCAGAGACCGTCAGGGTCATTTAAAAATCTGTCCAAACCTCGGGGAGGAAGATGTAATTATCCCTTCTTGATAGTTCCTTTATTTGACACAATTATTTATTCGTTTCTAATGCAGTGTGAGAAGCTTAGAGCAGAAGCTGCAATGCTGCCTGGAATACGGGCTGAGCTAGAAGCACTGAGGCGGAGGCATTCAGCAGCACTTGAGTTAATGGGTGAGCGGGATGAAGAGGTAATTTTGTTTTGTTTTTACCTTTTATTTCCCCAATTACTTCTCAAATTGCCCTTACAAGAGAAGGCTGTATACATTGTACTACCTCCATCCCATACAAAGGCTCCCGTCCACTATTTCTCGGTCAACTTAAAGCCTTCTTAATCTTTTACTTTATGTAACCAACTTTTATCAAATTTGAGTTTTTTTTGCAACTCTTTAAAACTTTTAATGTAGTTTATGAATATGGGACAAGGATAAAAATTAGTTTTTTTTTTCCAAATAATAATTTTATTACGGACAAGGAACTTTATTGTTAGTCAAACATCGTAAACTGCGTGGGAACCTTTGTACGGGACGGAGGGAGTATTACTTACTAGGAAATTTTGACCTTGCACCACATAATTTGAATCTCTGATACTGTACACCAAAGTGGGCCATTTAGATTTTGTGCCACATGATGCACCTTGGTATTTGACTCTGCTGCGCCTCATGATACAAATCACTGGATTAATCACATATGGAGGTATATGTTACGAGGCAAAATCCATTAGGGGTCTAACAGTACACCACAGTGTGCAAATTCAAAATTTTCCTTATTTATTTGGGTATTAGTTGTATGTAGTTCATAGATGGGGAGAGATCTTTGGGCTATGTGCAGATCCCAAAAAATGCGAGGGACAGGAAATAAAATGTTAACGGAAGCCATTTTTTTGAATTTACCTCGAAAAATGCAAAATAAAATGAAATATAAACACTTTTTTACTCATGTTCTGATTGTTCATCATTTATATAGGGAGTTAATAGGCGCGCCGATAAAATTACTTAATCTAACCATGGCAAGACTAATTTGCCCTTTACCGTTTTCGTTTTTTTACTAAAGTTTGATGTATGTAATTTCTCCTTAATAATGGAAGCTTCACTGAATCGCAAACGTCAATGGACCGCTAACATATTTTAATCTATTTCAAAATCATTGTACGCTCAATAGTTTGGTGTCATGTTGCAAAGAATTGTTTTTTTATATAAATGTCACATTTTTTCATTTTTCCTCCAATCTTTTTAAAAAATATACCAAATTAAATAATTTGAAAAGGAGAATATTACCCGAAATAGGAGTAAAAAAAGTTCGCAAATTCCAAAACTTTGTTTAAAAAATTACTTCTATGGGACGAAGTTCACGTCTTCTTCCTTAAAACTTTGTCATTTTTTATTTTTTTGGTCAATCAAGTTTAACTTTGACCAATATATATTTTGTAGGAAGTTATTTATAACATATAAATGATATGAAAACATTCTTTGTTAAAATCACTTTCATAAAAGAATAAAATTTATAACTTCCCAAATATTATACTAATAAAAATCATGGTCTAAACTTTATCAACGTTGACTTACTACTCCGTATTAACTTATGTCAAAGATGACAAAGTTTTAAGGGATGGAAGTAGTACCTTTTTTTGTCCCGAATTGATAGTAAAGTTAAATCCTCTCTGCGGATAGTTGAATCAATTTTAATAGATAAATTACACACTGCATTAAAAATTATATAGAATAGCAAAATTGAACTTAAAATATGATTATAAGCTTATTTTATCCCAAACTTTCATCAAATTTACAAATCCATCATATTCTTTTATTTTTATAAAAAAACTCAAACTTCATGTTTTTCAACAATTATGCTTTTCTTTTTTCTTTTTTTAAAATTACACATTTTTACCAATGCCAATTAGATATAAGCAATACAAATTTGTAAACTTGAAACTAGAAACAAATAAAAACTATAAAATATGAATATGATTTTCTTCTTAATTTTTACTAATGCATTCATTGAAAGTGTAATTGTGAGAAAAATTGAAGTTTGAGTCTTTTTTAAGTAAAAGTGAATGTATGAGATATATATGTGAAATTGATGATAGTTGAAGATATATTTAGCTAATAATCCAATAATAATTTTTTATATGATAATAAGTAAATAAAATGGAACTTAGTTGATAAACGAACGGTAGGAATAATGCAAATACAACATTATTCGGCCCTAGAAAATGAATTAAAATACTATTGCTCCTTGCTCAACACAATAAAAAACAATTTAACAAATTTACTACGTAGAAAAACTCTTGGAGCTCGGCACAGCCGCAGAGGACATAATTGTCCCATTCATGTGAAAATTGGGTGCACACAGTGACCCAGAAAAACAGAGTCACGGGGTCCCTACTATAATGTTTTTAAATTAATTAATATAAATTTAAATAAACAAAATTAAATATTAAAGAAGCATAAAACATTTCATAATTCGTACATCATCAAAACTTTAAGATAATGTAAAGCAAAAAAATAAATAAAAAGGGAAATCATGATCGCGAGGTTGAAACTGTCCTTTTTGAAGGTAACTACGGCGTACCTTGTCTTGCAAATTAGGATGAAAATCAGCAATTTTTTTTCAATCCAGGATCAACTTTCCAAGATTCAAAATTGGTCGTGTATATTATAAGCCAAATTAGTTTCACTTTCAGCCATTACTTGATGCAATTTTTCATTTACTAATAATGAATAATTTGAATTAACATTTGAATTACTCTCGATACTCTGAATTTCTTTGAATCTGGGCACACTACCGTCTACCGATTTTTTTTTAATTATCATATATCGTAAAATATTGAGAAAACATTCATAAATATATAAATGTATTGATCTAATCTTAATGTCTAAAGAAATTTTAATAATTAATCTAAAAAATGAATTATGCAAAGGTCAAAGAGTAAACCAAAAGAAACTAGGCGAGCGAGTCAGTGGAGTGTATTCAAGATGGTCTGAAACGGGAGAGGCACTAACGATGGATGCTATGGTCTCTTAATATAAAACTACTACGTAGTAAGTTTGAAAAATAGCAAAATTGTTGAAGAGGGAATCAAAACCACTACCTTAACGCAAACAAGAGTCTTACTATCACACATGCAACCGTTGGACAACTCCGGTTTTCTTTATTCTTCTGTAGCTTTTTATGTATATATACATTATTAATCAATTTTATATCAAATATATGTAATATATAGCTATTTTTGGAAATCCACGGGGTCCCGCGACCCCATGGGACCCTTAGTGGGTCCGCCATTGGGTGCACATACCATATTTTAGGGTGCGCCGAGCAGGGCCGTTTATATAATACGTAGTACAAATTAGTAAACAACCAAATAAAAATGAATTTGAACAAATAGAAAAACTAAAATGATTGAGTTTGGACTTTGGACCGATGTTTTATTTTCCTCGACATTTTCTTTCCTTATAAAATTCTCCTATATTTTCCTTCATATTTTTGTTCCCTTGCAATTTCTGGGTTTCTGCGACCCAAATGGATCCTTTGGGTCAGGGACCATCAATTCAGATCATTTAGGGGCTGCAAAAGACACATTTGTAGTTCTAAAGTTCATGAGAACATTTCTAGAAAGTTCATTGGAGATTCCACCCTTGCAAATTGCATTTGCAGAAACAATTTGATTGGGTTATATTCTCATGGCAAGTTTCTGTTTTGTAGTTGGAAGAACTGCGAGCGGATATAGTGGACCTGAAAGAGATGTACCGAGAACAAGTAAATTTGCTAGTGAACAAGGTATGCTAGCCTGGTTTATTGTAGTAGTTGATAAAATCTATTTGTCTTATGAACTTTTCTTTAATACGTACTCCCTCCGTCCCGTTTTAAATGTCCCGGAGGAGGGTGGCACGGGTTTTAAGAAAAGTAGGTTTGTGTGGTTGATATTAATGGATAAAGTAAGAATAAAGTAAGAATGATTTTGAGCCACACAAACTTTACCAAATAAGGTATGAGACATTTAAATAGGGACATCCCAATATGGTAAAACGGGACATTTAAAAGGGGACGGAGGGAGTATATATTTGGGGGTTTGACCGATAACTACATGATAAATGAAAAATTTGTCACCAAATCATGTCCATCTTTTGACAAATAACACACTTTACTCTCAAACTACCATCAAGAACTCCAACTTCGTCCACCATACAAATTTCAAAGTACAATTATTTTTATAAATAAAATAAAATAAAATTAACCTGAAGCTGCCATTACTAAAAACTCTAAAAGCGAAAGTCAAACCCTAAAGAGAGGAATTGAGTGAGTAGTATCCACAGCCATTGCCACTATTAAACACTCAATGCAAAACCCTAAACTAGGGGTGGACCAGGAGCAGCATTGGTTCCGAATCGGCCAGCCCCCAGCCCCCACCCTCCATATCCAAGATCGGGACTGGTTCCGTAAACGGGTCTACCTCTATCCTAAACCCTAAACCCTAAATAAAGGGGTAAATAGGTAACATGTCCAAAAAAGATCTAATTAGGCCAATAGGTAAATAAGGTCATCATCATTACCTATGGTGGGGGTAAGGGGGTCAGATGTACGCAGCCTTACCCATGTACTAAATAAAGTATAGAGAGTCTGTTTCCGGATAATAGGTAAATAAGGTAATGTAGACAAATAAGGCTTGGTCGGAAATGTGGTCATTGGGGTGTGCTTATTTCTTGCCGTGTATGCAGATCCAAGTGCTTAGCTCCTCTCCGGGATCTAGTTGAAGCTTTGATTTCACTTCTGGCCTCCTTTTCTGTTCTATATCAGTTGATTAAATTGTGACGACTCCCTACTGGTCCCCTGGTTAAAGATGTAATCAAGTATGGAGTAATCCTTTTCTTTTAAATACCTTCTAGTACATCTAAGAGTGATATTTTCCTTTTTGTATTTGTATAGTATATTCTATTTTGAGTTGTTATTTTTTAGTACCCAGATTGTACTAGTTTTCGTTGTTTGATTTGGAGTGATTGTTAATATAATAACAGCGTGAGATAAGAATTTTTTTTTTCTCTTTTTTGGCTTCACTTGTGAGAATACGATAAAATGACGTTCCCACAAAAAATGGACAGTCTGGTGCTATCAAAAGAATTGTGTTCTTACTAGTGAGTAGACTAGTAGATACTATCAGATTTCCGGTATTCATTGTCAATTTGAATGGCACTTGAAATAGTCGGTCTAAAACGCATGGATATTCATAAATAGATAATAACTCTTTAACAGTGTTGTTGTTGGAGACTTGTACCTTGATAATTTTGTAGACTTGTACCGTTTTTTATTATTTTGTAGACTCGCAACGGTTCTTTTATACGGAGTAATTATGGAACTGGCTTCCAAATTAAATTTAAGCTGAAATTTGATGCACATAATTTATACTTGATGAAAAACAAGTTCATTAAATTTTATAAAAAAGTTCTACCTAGAAGCATCTCGAATAAAGATTACTGATGCGAATGTATAAGAACTTTGGTTCTTTGCATAAGAATTGAATCTGAACTGGAATCCAACCGGAACTGAACTGGATTCGAACCGGAATTGAATTGGTCAAATACTATAGGAATTTGCTAAAAAGTCCAAAATTATAGGAATCGAATAATCCATATGATCAATTATATCTTTATTAATCCAAACTAATTAGACATATGTAATTGATAAATACACCGAGTCATTACAAAAATTGATATTGAGCTAGTCTCAATTTTTTGAGAGAGCCGCTCAAGGTCGAGTTAATAAAAGAGTGCTTTTAGCCGTTTTAGGGTTTGTTTGCAACTGTTTTTCCTTAAAAGCACTTTTTGTGTGATAAAAAAGTCAAAGTACTTTCACAAGAAAACTGATAAAAGTTAAATGAGGAGTGTTTAATAAATTAAGTGTTTTTTTAACTTAAAAGTTGGGAGGTGAGGTGCTTTTTTTTTTTTTTTTTTTTTAGAGTTTGCAAACAATGCGTTGGTCGTTTGCATCTCGGGCGGAGCACTTGAAGGAGTTGGAGCTTCTTTCGCGCTCGTCGTTATCACCATCCTTTGCAGCCGTCGCTGCAAACTTCCGCCCGACTTCTTCCGCACCAGTCACCACCGACTCCTTTTCTGCTTCTGCGAGGTATCTTTGACTTCCAGCATTTGGGCGTTTCCTTATAATTTGGTTAAGATTTTGGAGGGCAGGATGGAGGGGAAAGGGGATAGCGTGAGGGAGGAGCGAGTGGTGGAGGCGAGAGCAAGAAATATCAGTCACAACGTTAGGTGCACTGAGTGTGGCAGTCAATCGATCGAAGATTCTCAAGCTGACATTGCAATTCTTCTCCGCAAGGTAATTCTCTCCCTGTCTCTCTCCATCTTCCTCGAGCTTCTATCTATGAATATTGCTGAATATCAGACCTTCTGTTTGCAATCCGTTCCAGAGGCTTTGCTTTTCTGCCCATTAATAACAAGCTAATAGCTGCGTTCAATTTTCACCTTTCCTCAAGCTGGTTAGCTCTTTGAGATTTATACTTGTTTTACGTTTCCTTTTGGCTATGTTTGTGTCCTGGAAAATGTTACGGAAAGCTAAGGAAATGCAAAGGATAAAGAAATATGCTTTATGTTTTTATACTTTACATTGATTTAAATTGCCTAGTATTTATATCATCACATGACTGGTAATTTAAAATACTCCCAGAAATATGTTTATCAAGTCCGAACCAATACTTAAATTTCCTCAGCAGTCCGTTTCCTTCTAAATTTCTCTGCATCCAAATGGACCCCTTGGATTCTTTTTGGGGTAACATTCTAACCTGTTATAATATCTAGAGAAATGGTGAATGATAATGTCAACATACTTGATTGGGATGAGACTCCAACTATAAACTTCACTTTGGGATCACTTTGAAAGGGCAACATTGATGAAAAATAGGGAGACCAATAAAAAGAAAATGGAGATGAAATAATAAATGTTCAGAATGCAATAATCAATTTTAGTAATTTGCTAAAACTCCTTTTTTATTTATATGACTCTTTAGCAATCTAAACATATGTTATACTTTCCAATTCCTTGCAATGAAAAGGATGAGAAAAAAGATCGTCTATCATATCACATTCAAGGTATCCATTTCCTTATGGCTTTCAAGTTGCTCCTCCTGTAGGCTGTAGTCATGGTGAACACATAAACATTATGCACAAGTGCACAACAACCAGTGGCGGAGCCAGACATTTATGGTTAAAGGGGCCGGTCCTTAAAAATTTTATATTGAAGGGGCCAAAATTTAAAATATTAACATACTTTCTACAGATTAAAAGTATTTATACATAATATATACTTAAGAATTTTTTTCTTGCAGGGGCCGTGGCCACCTCCAGCCCCTCCCTGTCTCCACCCCTGACAACAACTATATATGAAGATATTATGAGTCACCATTTCAAAAACATCCGTCATGTAGAATATTCATATGTATAGTTTGTGCTGTTTTTAAAAGTTATGCTATAAAGTGGTTCTAGCTGTTTAAGATTTATTCTTGTTTTTTCACCTTTCTAGCCAATACTACAAATGAATGATAATTTTCACTTCATTTCAAACTCTAGTAGAGAAGTCAGAATGTCGCTTCTTGCGAAAACGCTCTGCTGTACTATTTCTAGTTTCGATCATTTCTCGAAGATCGTTCTAACCTTCTTTGATTAGTATTCATATAATACTCTTTTTCATATGTGATGTATTAAATTTCTGTGGGAATTATATGAAGTTGATTCGAGATGAGATTCGAGCGGGGAAAAGTGACAAAGAGATCTTCAAAAAACTGGAGGACGATTATGGCGAGACAGTGCTTTATGAACCAAAATTTGATCTTCAGACAGCGGCTTTGTGGCTATCACCGGTCAGTTATAGACTATCGACTTAACTTTTTCATTTTCCATGTTATGTTTTCCTTTCATTAGTTCAGCTTTCTGTAGAATTTATCTATGATTAATAGATCTTGTTACAGCTTATTACTGCTGGTGCTGTTGGAGGTGTTTGGGCTTTCCAAAGACACAGGAAAAAGACCAATGTGCACATCATGGCTTTGAATCTCATTAGGGGGGTCCCGCTAACACCTAAGGAGAGGGAGACCATGCTTAATATCCTTACCCCACCCCCTTCACAACATTCTCCCTTGTATTGGTGGAAGAGATTGATTGGTCATTGAACTCCAAGAATATGATTCACATTCTACCCTCCAGCCTGTTCAAAATATGTTTGCCTTTGGCTGTGTAATTTGATGCAATGGAGCATATACTCTTCTTTAAGTTGTCATCCTCTAATGAGTATTCATGTTCTGTAATTATGCAAGGATTACAGTTTGGATATGCATTCACTTCTTGGATATGCGTTCTCTTCTTCACTGTCGCTATCCTCTAGTTGATCTATATACTTAATACTCCGCAGTTGTTATTGCCTATTCTTTGGCCAGCTACTTTGTGCCTATGTAAATAAATACTCTCTTCGTCCGAAACAGCTTACTCTTGGTTGAAATAAAGGGTTTTGGAGAACTTAGGACCTGTTATCTTGCCTGTAAAAAATTGACTTGGTGCAGCCGCGCAGTCCGAATAGTTTGTGTCCGGCACTCCGGCTTGATATGGATGATACGATAATGTCTTATTTTCTTGACTGAATTGTTACATCCGGTTTGTACTTTGAATTTTCGTGGTCTAGCTAGTATGAGTGTTTCTGTTTGGTGTGATCAAGCAAAAGGAAGAACAAGGTGATGCGAAATGAGACAACAAGGGGGCGTTTGTGAAGACGTAAAGTAATCATTTTGCGTGCAAAGTGTAGGGATGTAAATAATTTACATTTTGGTACGATTATTTAATGTAAACTATAGGGTACTATTTTAAAGCATTTTACATTATACCAGGTAAAGCACTTTACGTGGGAGTGGTAAAATACTTTAAATTCTTAATATAAAATTGATCAAATTCAAATTTGACCCTATTTTTTACGACAGACTTGGCGACATCTCTAACCCTTACTCACCACGTCACTTCTTCTCTACAACATCACCATTCTTCTGCTCTTCACCGAATATGAAGCAATTGCAGAGTTGCAGACTATGGGTAGAAAGAACTTCAATAAAAACGTGTCCCTCAAATTATACGTTATGTGGGTGTTTGATAGCTTTATCAGTAGTTTGTCTTATTGCTTATTACCGATAGTAGTTCGTATCAATTTTCAATATTTTTTCGCCAAATACCAATTTCATGGCATAATTAGCATGCCACTAGGGTTGTAAACGAATCGAATAATTTGTGCTTGATTCGCGATTCGAATTCGTATAAGATGATTCGTGTTCGGAAAATCCAAATCCAAATAAGAATATTAAATTTGATTCGAGTTGTTATCAAATACAAATAAGAATATCAGTGTATTCGATTCGAATATCAATCAGATATATTCGATTATTTATAATGGTAATATTAATATCAATATTAACAATAATAGTAATAACACTAATAACTTTTAAAAGATAGCAACACCCTCAAAGTGTAGCCAATATACACATTTTCGCATACAGATTCCAAGCCCACTTGTAATAACCAGAATATAAATACGAATACAAATCCATTTTTTGGTTCAAATGTCTTTCAAATACAATACAAATAATTATGTATTTGATTTGAAGAATAAAATTATACTCTCTCCGTCCCGTTAGAAGGTTCCCACTTTCCTTTTTTGGACGTCCCATTAGAAGGTTCCTATTTCCATTTTAGGAAACAATTAACAATCTTAAGTGACAAATTAGTCATTAAATATTAAAAATAATACATTTATAACATCACAGTTATCAATACTAACACATTATAATATATACCTATTAAAATTATTTCTCAAAATATACCCGAAGTACTTTATTTGATTATCATCTGAATAACCGTGCCGTTTTGCTATGAGAACCTTCTAATGAGACAGAGGTAGTAGTTGTTTGACTTTGATATATACAATTATCAACTTATTTCACACATTATAAGTATAATTTCTAATATGTGTGCAGTGTGTTAGTGTTTATTTCATAAAGTTTGAAATAGATTTATATTTATTAATCATAAAATTAATTCACTTTGA